AAGGGAAAAATGTCATGCTCTGATCCAGTGGAAATAGGTTCCGGTACTCATTTTGGGTGCTGGTACTTGTTTATATTTAGGGGAAATAGGTTCCGGGTACTCATTTGGGTGGCTGGCACCTTGGTTTAATATTTGGAAACAGGAGCACCACACTTTACTTTTCAGCTAATATTCTTATAAGAGAGGAACAGGGAGCAACACCACAATAACTTTTCAGCTCAACATTCTATTTAAGAGGAACAGGAAGCACCACATATCTTTTCATCTAACATTCTATAAGAGGGAACAGGCGCACCACAAATACTTTCAAGCTAACATTCTATAAGAGGAAACAGGAGCACCACAATTACTTTTCTAGCTAACATTCTATAAGAGGAAACAGGAGCAGCACCACAAATACTTCTTCATCTAACATTCTATAAGGAGGAACAGGGCACCCACATGTACTTTTCAAGCTCATATTCTATAAGAGGAACAAGGAAGCTCAAAGACAGAGCAGTAGAAACATTTGAGGTACTCAGCTCCGGTGAGCTCTGCCCGGTCAACCACTGCTTCTTATCCCTTGCGCAAACAGCCTACAGCTACCGAGCTCACTGGCGTGGGAAACTGAGGGCCCAGAATATTTTATACAATGTAGCAACTTCGCTAGCCCAAGCTCTGGGCGGGACCCAAGTTAACAGTTGGATACGTTTCAAGTTCGTTGCGGACAGGCCATGGGATTTATATTGATTTCTTTTTAAAAATCAGGATGTTTCCTACCTGCAGGCTGCAATGTTTTTATTTGTTGGCTTTATGTAGGCTATTTTTACATAGTTGGCAATGGCAATAGAAGATACTTTTTAGGTTTGTATCATTTTCATTTAGATTTTGATTTAATTTAGATGAACCACATGACAATGATTTTTGAGATATGAAGACGTTATTATAAATGAAATGAAACTGTTTCACGAAAATGCGCATATGAAAACCATAACTGGCACGCAGATCGGTAGAAATGGCAGGATAAATTGGCATTCCACATGAGAAAGGTTGCCGACTCCTCGTGTAGCCTATTACCGGCAACTTCAGGAGAGTAACGGCAGAATCTATGAAAGCCGGCAGGAGCGGGAGGACAATAGTTGGGTTGACTTTTTGTTCTTTTTTCTGGTTATCTAGATCTCTGGCGCCCTCTTGAGGCATCAAACCGTAAGCTTAAAGCATCAGACAAGCTCAATGCACATAGTTGATTTTATAAAAACATAGGGTGTGTATAAATATGGAAAAATACACGTAGTCATGTTGCATTCAGGCCATTTTGTTCTTTAGAAGAGAGTCCCCCCTCTACTCTATTCCCGCTTCTCCATCAACCAGTGAAGTGGAGGAGGAGCAGGCCTAGGGGTGTGTGTGTGTGTGTGTGTTTGTGTGTTGGGCAAAGTTTCCCAAACTCTGTCCTGGGAACCCCAAGGTTTTTTTTTGCCCTAGAACTACACAGTTGATTCAAATAATCAAAGCTTGATGATTTGTTGATTATTTTAAATCACCTGTGTAGTGCTTGGACAAAAAAAAAAGAAAATTGTTCACCCCTTGGGAAACACTGGTGTAGGGTCTTATAGACTGAAGTGTGTGTGGCCACAGGGCCTTTGCAGACTAGGCTATTGATTGTACCCAGCTAGCCAGCAGCCACGAGTTCACACACACACGGGGGGGGGAGAGAGAGCTTAGCAGCAAACTGCTAAAATCCCCTATCGACCGACCGCTACCCAGAAAGAGAGAGAGAGCGAAACTGCAAGAAAGAAAGACCGAGCAAGCTCCAGCTCATTCCTACTACAGGAATACTCCCCTAAACGTGTCTCAGAAACACAACTGTACAGGGCCTCGTTTCCCAGATCCTTTGTTAGTAATGTTGCTGTTAAAAACCTTTGCACATCTACGAGTGATCCAGACCACTCGTAGAGCAGCCAAAGTGCATCGTTAGATGCTTTTTGCCTTAAACATAGAATCCGCTAAACATATAATCAAGCTGTTTAGGCTATTTGTCTGACTGCGACTGCTGATAACTTCAGAATGAAGTTGACTACAAATGCAAAGTTTCCAAAGTATTTGCAATTGTTACAAACAAGTGAAGGATAAATGATGCTTCAAATGAAAACCGAGATGACTGCATTAACAGATACATGGGCCTACATAGACAATTCTCAATCTTATTGAAATCAATTTCATGTTCAATCCAGTTCCATTTTGCGACTAGGCTACTGTCTAACTTCTGCCTCAATATATGGGGGATTGGAAGTGATGCAGACAATTACATTGATGGAAGTTACAATCTATCTCCAATATTAAAGCTGATCTACCCCCTAAAAAAAATGGAACAAATAAAAATAACAAATATAGTAAAAAAAATCAAAATAAATCTGCCTCAATGTGTTTCATGATGTGTGACAACAATAATGTGCCCTGTCTGTGATTTAGTGCATTATTATTGGTTAAGCACAGTAGGCCTCCTAAATAATCTATTTGCAGC